AGTGTCATCCCGCCTGCCTTTGCCTCTCCTTGTGGTTGACAGCCTCTACTACAAGGGAGTTGGGAGCCAGGTGAAAATAGAGGTATTCACGTCCCTTCACTGGCACAAAGTGTTTTCTCTCAGCCCTTGTAGAAATGGAAGTCAGGGACGAGGGAGTTTGCTAAAGGACTTTAGTAATCGTTAAGACCCCTTTGTGCAGCGGTAGGCAATGCATCCCAGGGCTGAGGTGCCAAGCGCACCAAAGAGTACACCCTCCAGCTCCTCTGGTTCTTCCCAGGTTCAAGGCTGCCCACCTCAGGAGCTCCTAGTGCGCCTTCACGTCATCCTGCGGTACTGGGAGAGGGGAGCGTGTGATGGCCGCATCCAGTGAGGACAAAGAAGAGGCTGGCACCAGGGTTACCACTCCCTGACCCTGAGGTGCCCCTGAGGAGTCCGTTAGGGGTTCTTACATGCAGGGGTGTTTCTTCCTCAGCAGCTTGCATTAGCCTAGGGGGTTGAGACACCGAGGCTGAGGATATTTCTGACACCCCAGAGACTAATTTTGGAACTGGGGCTGTCATGTAAATCTCCAAGGCTCCCCAGGAACCAAGATGCCAGCCACTGTCCTTGCAGCCATACCAGCATTTGCAGTGCTGAGGGCTGAGGCTGGCACTTCCAGAGTCTGCGTCTGTCTCGGTGGCAGGGACCATTGCTCCATGCCGGCTTCTGCTGGCATGAGTGCACTGCCTGGCCACCAGGAACAAGAGAGCTCATGAATGCCTCTCTCATAGCAGTGCATGCTCTGGGCCTGCCAGCATGTCTCTGACCATGATGAGCCCCTATCTGGGAAAGCTGGCATCAGTTCAGGGAAAATGGATCTGCATCGGTCACCCAGTGATCTATACCTCCCATCAGCTCTCCGATGCTGGGAGCTGGAACGGGACTGATAGCTGGAGCAAGACCAGCAGTCCCAGGAGCGTAAAGACCATGAGGAACACAGAGACCAGGACCAGTGCTAACAGGGTGAGAACTGATGCTGCGGGGAGCAGTTCTGGTTACAGTGCCCAGGCCACCATGACACTGACCTTAATTGAAGGTTCCCAACCCGAAAGATGCATGCCTGTCTCCAAGACTCTGAGATCTGGCTGCTTTGCACAGGGGTGCGCTGGCACACAAACCCCATAAGGGATGGGCTATGCTGCAGGGGTGACGCTCAGAAGGAGTCCAATGTGGGCCTGCCTCAAGACCATGTCCTGTGCAACTACAGGGCTTCAGGAGTCAATGGTGCCTCTGGGTTCCGGAGACCATTGTCGCTGCTCAGTGCTGACGCTTCGGGCGGGGTCAGGCTGGACTGCCCCTCTGGAGCTGAAGTTCGACTTCCTGGCAGAAATGATGACCTGCAGGTCCAGGCACCCTTCCTTGTTTCTCCTTGGCCTTTCAGAGCACAGAGGAGCAGACGTTGGTTGAAGCCTTCACCTTCTGCACCAGGGTCAGCGAGGGAGAGCGATGCCAACTGGAGGCACGGTGCCCATGGGCCAGGCTGGTGTCTGCTCCCTTGCTGGGGACAGTGCCAATTCCATTAGGAGCGCCCGCAAGCAAATGTCCCTTTCCTTCTTAGTACGGGGCTCATATGATCTGCAAAGTTAGCACTTGTCACTAATGTGCCCTTCACCAAGACCTTGCAGACAACTCTCATGTGGGTGGCTCACAGGCATAGGGTGCCTACACAAACGACATGGTTGGAAACCTGGGGATGGGGACGTTCCCTGTCCCTAGGCAACTGTCCCATTCATGACAATGAACTCTATCTAAATGAACTTATCAACTAGTTGAAAATTATCTAAAGAGCTGCTAAGTAGAGATGATCAAGCTGAAACCAGAAGTTCTGATGCATTGTCACTGGCATCAAGAAAGAACTGAGGATAGGGGGAGCACACAGTGCCTCCTATATTGCGCCATGGCAGAAGCACTCCAAGGGTCGCTAGAGACACTCCCCTACAGATGCTGGTAGGGGAAAAACTTCCAACATTGGTACACATGGCAAGCACGTACATCTAACGTGGAATGGAGATGAGCAAGCACTCAAAGAAGAAATCTAAGATATGAAGACTACAGTCAAAATATTTTATAATTATAATTTGATTTTATAAAATAAAAAACAAACTGAAACTTCTTTTAAGTTATGCCTGAAGTTGTGAAGCCATTAATCAAAGAATAGCATCGAATATTTTAATTCAAAGGCCAACCCCAAAAAGAAAAAAGGGAATGATCTGATAAAATACGTAATAAAATCAGACATATTAATGCAAATATTCTAAAAAGATAGTCATGAGGAAAGCTTCATCTCTAACATACATTGTAGATTTTCACAATATATAGTAAGATACTTGTAACATAGATTTTCAGTTTATTAATGTCATCTTCATTTGGATTTAATTTTACCTTAATTATTTCATAAACATTCTTTTACAGTTATCATTATGCTACTTAATTTTGAACAAAATGCATTAGTTCAACAGCATGAGATGTTAGCGCTAATTCCTTCTGATAAGCATAATATTTAATAAATGAAACAAGCAGCACAGACTTTAAATATATGAATGCCAATTATATGACAAAAACATTACTTTGTTTATTTCTGAATATTATTTTGTTATGCGGATTAATTTTTGTTATTTCAGAAGTATAAAACATAGCACTCACATTTGTAAGAGCAAGAACGCAACCTTGGTTTCAACATGACCCCATTCTGCAAGCCTATTCACAGGTGTAATCCAGGGATGGGCAATAACTTTTGATCAGGGGTCACGCCAAGAATTAGGTACGTGGTCAAGGACTGCATTTTTCTATTATATTAATGTAACAAGTGCAGGGTCTGGGATGGAAATTGAGTACTGGAGGAACTCTGGGTAGGTGACTGAGATACAGGAGGGGGTGTGTGGTCTGGGCGGAAGTTTGAGTAAAAGGGGATTGTGAGCTGGGAAAAGGGGTTGGGGGTAGAAGGGTGTGCAGGGTCTGGGGGGTGGGGGTTTGGGTGCAGGAGAGGATTCTGACCTATGGGAGGTCTGTAGGAAGGAGCTATGACCCGGGGCAGGGATACAGGAGGGGGTGCAGAAGGTTTGGGGTGCCAGGTGAAGACTCTGGCCAGGAGGCACTTACCAAAGATTGCTTCCGGCCAGCAGCCCAATGAGACCATCGGGCAGTCTCCCTTTCTGTCATGCCCCCACAAACTGGGCCCCTTGTGCGGATCTCTGCATGCTGCGTGCACCCGCAAGCAGGGCCCAAGTAGCTCCCACTGGCTGGTGTCAAGAAATGCACACACTGGCTCCAGCAGCTGGGTGCTTTGAGTGGCATGTTGGGATGTGGCAACAAGGAGCCTGCCTGAGGGTCCCGGTGGGCTGTGGGACATTGGCGACCCAGATAGGGTTGCCAGGTGTGCGGTATTGACCTGGACAGTCCAGTATTTTTGCCTCCTGTCCGGTAAAAAAAAATTCAGACAATACCGGACACCTAAAAAGTCTGGTATTTTCTGATTTTTTCCCAGCCAGGAGGCGAAAAAAACCCATGTGCTTACCTGGTTCCGCAGGGGAGTTGTCTGGCCCGGAGCAGTAAGACAAAATGGCGGACGGCCGCCGGCAGTCTGTTCGGCCAAAAATCCTCAAAAGCATTTCTTAAAGGGGCCAGACCAAGTTGTTAATTTTTTTAGCTTAACAACTCTCGGGGTCCTTTTTTTTTTTTTTGCTCAACAACCTTGGTCTCCCCCCGCTTTTTTTTTTCTCAACAGAATTTTTTCCCCAGTGGGTTTTTTTGGGGGGTGGGGGTGGGGTGTTCAGTATATTTGGTTAAACCATCTGGCAACCCTAGACCGAGAAGATCTTGGCAGGCTGGATCTATATGTTTGACAGGCCGGATCCAGCCCACGGACCATATATTGCTTGCCCCTGTGTAATCGTTAACCATACACAGAGTCCCAGTGACACCAACTATAGTATGCATGTGAGTAAGAAGTTCTTGCATGAGCAAGACTCCAAGCATCAGGTTCTTAGGCCTCTATCCAACCAAGAACTTAAGTATTTGCTTAACTTTAAGCACAGAATTAGTCCTTTAGACTAAGATGCTCATGTACTTAAAATTAAGCACATGCTTTACATTTAGCACTTTGTTGTATTGGGGTCAATGGTTTTGTCTTTAATAACTACATCAATTTAGTTACACCAGGCCATATTGCTAATATAGACATACTGCATGTCAGTGACCATCTGCCTTACAATACTGAAACTGTTATGCTCTGTCACGGCTAAATTTATTTTTCCTTTGACAGAGCTTTTCAGAATTTGCTGTCAGTGATTTTTTTCCCCACCTTAACAGATTCCTTTTTTTAGTGTGCTGTTTTTATTAATTGTGTATCTTTCTTGTCTTTAATTAATGGCATAGGGACCCTAAAGTATTTTTGGGGTTTTAATAATGTCATTTGGCCACGACATAGACCTCCATTCTTGCCCCCCTACTTCACAAACCCTCTGCTCCCCTCCTGCACCAATATCCCCTCCCAGATCTGGCATCCCAACTCCTGCCCCAGATCGCAATCCCCTTCTGCTCTAGGTCACAACCCAAACCCCTGCACCTTCTCCTGCACCCCAGTCTCCTGCCCCAAATCACAACCCAAACCCCTGCACCCTAGTCCAGTGCCCCAGGTCACAACCCCCTCTTTCACCCAAATTCCGTCCCAGACCCCACCCTCCCTTGTGCAACCCAATCCTTCACCCCAAGCTCCCTTCTGGACCCAACCTCCATCCCAGAAACCTGCACCTCCTTCATTAATATAATGGAAGAATGCAGCCCTCAACCGCTTACCACGTTTCTGGAGTGGCCCCCCATCAAAAATGTTTGCCTACCCCTGATTTAGACCCTCTAATCCAAGGTGCTCAAAGAATTAATGAATCTCACTAGGTTCTGTGGGAGGAGGGAAGGGATCACACTATAAAGTTACAAGGCCAAAATAAGCAGTGTTTTCTGAGTACCTTGTGACCCAGCCAGGTTCCATGGTGACCCTCAACTGGGAGACGCTCTGCATCCCCTGTCAGATCAGTCAGGGCATCCTGGAGGGAGAGAATCCAACACAGGTCAGAGAGTGAGAGAAAGAGAGAAAATCCTGTACAGTTTTTAAAGTTCTCCTTTGATCCTTGCCTGTCCATTATTCTTGAATGAAGTCTGGGGGGTTTTTTTACCAGCATTTGTGCAGTAATTTTTACTGAGATTTATTAATCAGGAGTATACTTTGATCTTTTCTTTACATGTCCATACGTCTCAGCTTCAAACAGTAAAAAGTCCTGTGAGCCTTAATAGCAAAGCAACAGGAGAAGGAGAGGAGAAAAGGGACACGTTGGTTATTTTACTTGTGACATTAGAAAAGATCAGAAGTTCAAAGTTTAAATATATTGGTGTATCAGCCACAATTATTAAATATCTATATTTCCCATGGAGGCTAAGAAGGGGTTGGGATTAGGTATAAAGGGTTTGATTCTGTCACAAAACAAAACAAAGGACTACAGTGCTACAATAAAATCCTATGGAGTAACTCTCTGTGGGTATGTCTACACTACCCTCCTAGTTCGAACTAGGAGGGTAGTGTAGACATACCCAGCAAGAGTGGGAAATGAGCTCTTTGCCTGTACCGAAGGAGATTCCCAAGAATGAGCATAAGCCAGCGTATGCTGGTGAGAGTGAGTACCAGGGGACTCCATCACAGAGCACACATACCTTTGGAGACAGAGTTCCTCGGATACTGATAACTACCTTCTTCTTATCATGGTCTACAGCAACGTAGAAAGGAGTTTCATAGACCTGGGGAAAATACATTACTCTGTTAAAACCTGCGGCCTCAACTAGCTCCCCGCTTTCCCTCCAACTGAGAGGGAAGCAAATCACCGGCATGACAGATCTCTCCTCTGCCCAGTTCAAGGGCAGCAGTAACGTAAGGATTTGTATACAAGTAGTGCAGTTAGTCCAGAAGGGGAGCTCCAGGGTCAAGGGAATGGCTTAGGGTCCTCCCAGCCATGCTACAGAGCACACCGGCTTGGGAATATACCCTGAGTACAACAGGCGCCATAGAGTCTCCTTACCGCATCGTGGCAGGAGGTGTAGACAATGTCCACCGAAGTCATATTCTCATCTAGGAAGTGGCGCCGGATAGCGATGGCGTTGCAGCCGCAGCAGTTATCCTCCTCAATAGTGACACTCGGAGCATAGCGGGGCCGTGAGGAGCAGAGACAGCAACATCTACCAAGTAAAAGAACTACAGTGAGGAAAAAGGAAAGGTAGGGAGTTGCGGGGCTTTGGGAAGAGGAGTGGCAGGCATGAGAGGCACTGAGCCAAGATGGAGAAACAGCGGGAAATACCTGAAAGACTCTGCATGAGACTCTCTGGCCTTGCCTCTTGTCATTGTTTTTATGCACAGGTGCTATGAAGCTGCAGCACAGTCAAGGCACAAGCATTTTTACCACCTGTGACCGGAGTAGGTTTAGATGACATGACCCAAACCCTGCCTCCACTACAGCTTCTGCTCTTAATGACCCAGCTGGAGCTGCACCCTTGAAGAAGGATGCTTAGTTTTTCACAAAGTAGACACTCCCGCTTCTTCAGTGTCACTGTGTAAAATCACCATGAGGGTATGCAGTGTTGCTTGTGGACACCAGGAGGAGCAACAATGCAACTGATGACTGAAGAATCAATGTGACTGAGGGATCTCTGAACCTCCACAGCTCTGAGCACCGGGAGGGACACTATATTTTGGTTACTGCAACCCCAAATGTCTTGTAAGAAAAGGGCTAAGTCCTTAAAAAACAAAGCGATTCTGGACACTAATCACCAAACTTAAGCATTTAAAGGACAGCTAGAGGAGCAACAATGCAACTGATGACTGAAGAATCAATGTGACTGAGGGATCTCTGAACCTCCACAGCTCTGAGCACCGGGAGGGACACTATATTTTGGTTACTGCAACCCCAAATGTCTTGTAAGAAAAGGGCTAAGTCCTTAAAAAACAAAGCGATTCTGGACACTAATCACCAAACTTAAGCATTTAAAGGACAGCTA